AAAGTCATTTTGCAGGGTACATGTCCCATGGCGGATCAAATTGTTCGAAGTACAGACAATTGACTCCGTGGCACAGTTTCGGTCTGACACTGTCCTCAAATTTGGTACTCTTCCAGAAGAGAAACAACCCTAGTTCTTTCTTATTCTCTGAATTGCAAACTTAATAATTTTCAATTATACCGAATCTCTGTGCGATAAGGCACGTTTTAATGTTTGAAAGCCTATTTTGCATTTCGGGAACAATTGGAAAGTGTGAAGTCGAGGTGAAAGCTTTGTTTTTTCTGGAATGAATTAAGATTCTCAAAACATTAGGCCCGTGGTGCTGTCCTCATAATTATTTCATAAAAACTTATAAAGGACACTTCAGTACCGATGATCCAAGTGTTTTAACAAAGGCATTGGGCCGATTTGTCGCTAAGACGATCCATAAATTGGACCTTTTGGTTATTCATCATGCCGTCGGACTCTGATCAAAGCGCTGACAATTCGAAAGTCGTTATGTGACAGTCGCCGGACTTCCTGAAACTCTGCGTCCGTCGTGGGTTACCTCAAATGGACCAGAATTAAAATGATTGTCCCCTCGGTTGCAAAGCCATTTCCCCGACGGAGAAAACCGCGAATTAACTTAATTCCATTTTTTCCAGTATGCCAGTCTTTTCCATCGCCCAGAGCCACTTTCAATTACTTAATTCGACATTGATTCAATTCTCCGCCGGGGAATCTCCTTAATGCGTCCGTCTTGCAATTAGGGAATTTAAAAAAAAAAGAGTTTCTTACCCTTAAACCTCAGGGCTTGACTAATCGAAGGACCGATGAGGAAGAAAATATAAATATCAAAATTTTTTACACGGATAGAAAAGCCCCTTTTCCCATAAGCTCTTGAAAGTTGTGAGAAAACAAGGGCCTACTTTCCGAACACGTTCTCCCCATGAACGAATCCCGGTCTTACGAAAAGCCTGGGAAATATTTTTCTTTGATTTAAAGCGAGCTGAACATCATCGATTTAATTAAATTAATTTATCTTTTTACTAATAATTTGTCGCAGTTGTGAGGAGCGGTCAAAAATGAGGTTTAGAAAAACATCTTTTTCATTTTTGTTGCCGACCTTACGACCTTTTTCGGGTCATCTTCACGGCATAAAGTGTGGTACTATTCTTGTGCTATTAGTTTGTGTGAAATTGTTGTCAATGTCAATGTCTCACAGCAATTTCACACAAAACCAATAGGGCTCCACAAGAATAGCACCACACTTTATGCCCTGATGATGACCCGAATAAAGGTCGTAAAGGTAATCAATCACTAATCAAAGATAAATACTAAAATGAATTATAAAGAATACACACCATAGCACAATAACAGCTATAACACAAAACCAAATCAAGAAAATAATAAACAAAACACACAAAAAACTCCTCAAAAACAAACACTAAATGGTCCGCATTCGCATACATTGGGAAAGAGACATTTCAACTTATTCAGCTAACTAGGGATAAAAATAGCATTAAAAACCATAAACTCAATAGCCAAATTACTAACAAGGCGACAGGTTCTTGTGTCTCGGATTTGGAACCACCTTTTTCTTGGTATTCTACACTCCAAAATATATTCTCAAATAAACAGTTTTTATAAGTTGTAATTTGTTTAAAATATTTGTTTTTACAGCGCAAAGCATATTTTATTTTTTTAATTATATTTATTATTTCATAGTAACAATTAAATTAAATTTGTTGAAGTCGTGAGGAGGGAGCGGTCAAGAATGAGGTAGTTTAGAAAAACATTTTCTTTATCGTGTCAACGTTTCGATCTTTATTGAGATCATCTTCAGGGCCTGGGATTTACAAACATTGTTTACATTTAACAAATACATATACATGTAGGATGTGGAAAAAGTGAATTTATACAATGCAAAATATATTTTTTTATATTCAATCAAAGTATTTCTACTTCTCAAAGTGTTTGTCTTCTGTGTAATTGTGCCATTCTTGCGTGTCGTGTTGAGAGGGCCAGTGAGATTTTGCTGTTTATGTTTATATACATTGGATTTTGGAGGGGTGGGGAAGGAAGTCGGTATAGAAAAGACATTTTTCTATAAGGTGTCGGCTTCTTTTAGGTGAAAAGAGCCGAGGAAGGGAAAAACCGTTGGTAATGGCAAGATTATCCTTTCAGGATTATATAGAAAGGGATAAATAGGAAAAGGGAAGCTAAATTGTTGGAACATTAGACTATGTGAAAAATATTTGATGCTGTGTTTATCTCTGTTAATATAAACCATTTCTAAAAAATCACGTTTATGTTTGTTTTGTTCTGTGTGTAATACTTTTGGATTTTTGAAGTCAAAATTGCGTTGGTGTTCAAAATGGTGGGTAGCGAGTGCTGTAGGATTTTGCTTGGGTTTTTTGCAATCATAGATATGTTGCTTTACTCTCTTGTCCAGATATTGGGATGTAAGACCGATGTAAGTTGCCGGACAGTTTCAACAGTTGATCTTGTAGATTACGTCAGATTTATTTGTTATTGGTGTGGGATCTTTAATTTTGGAAAAAAGTGTTTGAATTGTTTTATAATTTTTGAAAGCTATTTTGAAGTTATCGGATGAGAGAAATTTGTTTAATTTATGTGATAGGCCTTGAATAAATGGCATGGAAATGTATGCTGGTTTGATTGTATTCGATAGACTTAATGTAGTATTATTAGTAATAGTGGATGGTGTTAGTGTTGAGTTGTAGTTATTGATTATTATGTTAATTATGTGTTTAGGGTAAAGATTGTTATGGAGGATCTGTTTGTATATCTTTATGTTCTTGTGGTGAAATGATTCATGGCTTAGGGTAATCATTCTGTGAATTAACCCTTTGGCCGAGTTTATTATTGTATGAAGAGGATGGTGAGATGTAATGTTGAGGTAGCGATCTGTGTTTCTTGGTTAATTATATTTATTATTTCATAGTAACAACTGTACCATTAAATTTGTTGAAGTCGTGAGGAGGGAGCGGTCAAGAATGAGGTAGTTTAGAAAAACACTATTTTCATTTTTGTGTGGTAATTAGTGACCGTTAATCGGTAATTATTCAGAAATCATGAGATGCGGTCTGGTGTGATGTAGATTTCAGAAAAACATTTTCTTTATCGTGCCAACGTTTCGATCTTTATTGAGATCATTTTCAGGGCCTGAGATTTACAAACATTGTTTACATGTAACAAATACATGTAGGATGTGGAAAAAAGTGAATTTATACAATGCAAAATATATTTTTTATATTCAATCAAAGTATTTCTACTCACTCAAAGTGTTTGTCGTCTGGGTAATTGTGCCATTCTTGCGTGTCGTGTCGAGAATGCCAGTGAGCTTTTGCTGTTTTATGTTTATATATCTTAGATTTTGAAGGGGTGGGGAAGGAAGTCGGTATTGAAAAGACATTTTTGTATAAGGCGTTGGCTTCTTTGAGGTGAAAAAGCCGATCGAAACGTTGGCACGATAAAGAAAATGTTTATCTGAAATCTACATCACACCAGACCGCATCTCACGATTTCTGAATAACTATTTCCATTATTTTGCCTACGTTTCGACCTTTATTCGGGTCATCTTCAGGGCCTGGGTAAATCAAAAAACATGGAAAAAATACAATTTAAGACTACTCTGTCACAATGATATAAAAATAGCAGAATACAAATTCACGTTTCACATCATTCACACAAAACCAACATGACACCACAAGAATAGCACCACGCTTTATATGAATCATCAAATACTTGATTCAAAATTTATATGTACATCTTAAATTGGATTTTTTCCAGCCAATATACGGTTTGTATTTTACCCAGGCCTTGAAGATAACACGAAAAGAGGTCGAAACGTCGGTAAAAAAAATGAAAAAGGTGTTTTTCTAAACTACCCCATTTTTGACCGCTCCTCACGACTCCAACAAATTATTAAACAACCGTTCACTAAAAAATTGATTTTGTTATTAGCATGATAATTTTGGTGGGAGTTTGAGGTGAAGTAGTTTTTAGTCGTGCCGTTCCTACCATCCTATCCTCGCTGGTATGATCGATCTAACAATATTTCTTCGACTTTAGATTTGAAGGTAGACGTAATTCATAAATCCTATTAATCCCGATTGCGTATACTTATAGTAAAAATAAAAGATACATAAACATGCACACTTGTTTATTTGGTGTCGATTTCCAGAATGGCCGATGAAGAAATTGCGAGGTTTCGTTCGTGCGTAACAGACCGCGAGTAGGGCTCATGGAATAAAACCGTAACGGGACAAACTCGCCCTAGCCGGAGGTGTACGTAATTTAATGATATATCCGAAGCATTTCAGAGGATAATTGATCGACGCCATATAAGAGAATTATAGCGACTACGTGGTGAATGTGCGGTGAGTGGTATCAGGCGTGTCCTCTGCCTATCCGATGACTAAGGGAAGAAGCTACGCCGTTGTTATGTGATTCAAAGACCCGTTATGTTAAGTATTTCTGACTTTCCGAAAAATTCTAAAAGAATCTAAACACATTCTGATGTGAGATTTCTCCGTGTGGTCTGTGGGGTGATCTGCAATTCGGTCGTTACCGATATGACCTGCATATCCTTGCTCTTTTGATCGTTAAACCCATTTCGGCCTTTTGTCACTCCTGATGGTGGCCAATGCTTGATTGACAACGAAAATAGCTGATTCTATTCTGATCTGTAATGATGTTTTTAGGCGACCTGTTTCAAAATGGGCGGCCCTTTTTATTTTATTTGTACGGTAAAAAAATCATCGGTATTAATAAAATTCATTGTTTATTATTCAAATCCGAAAATCCGCTCGGTGAGTGCTTTCCACTGATCCCCGTCATAGGAATCATCAATTACGGCATTGCTCGCATGAATTCGTTCTAATATTATTAGTAGTTGAGGGATCCGCCTCGGTCAATGGATATGGTAATAAACGGGTTCTTCGGGAAGACGGAGACGATAAAAAAAAATAAGGACCCGCGGTCCCACCACTTACCACAAAAAGGGATGCCTTCGGGTTTCCAGGTCCCTTGTGCGGTACAGATCCTTCTTGGAGGGCCGAGCAGCTCGAAGCCAGCTTCGCATCTGTACGTCGCGATAGTGCTGACTGAGAGATCCTTCTTGGAAAATTCGACGGTGGAATGCGCGGGAGCTCCGGGATATCCACATTCTGAAACAAGAGAAAAATTACGTCAAAAAATGAAACCTAAACAACACACGATGTAGATTTATCTAAAGAAAACATCGTTGCTTGTTTATCTCATTCGTGAAAAGAAAGAAGAAAGAAAACCTTATACAATACAATTTGCTTCGTCACGCACTAACGGTCACACGGCGGTCGCTCTAGCCTAGTTGAAAACAACAATAACTACAAATAATCAATTGCTCCAGTTCCTTAATTATATTTTGTTTCTATTTAAAAATAAACAAATTTTTGTTTTAAACGAGAAATTATGATCGCCATTGACACGGATGTCTTTATTTTGCAATGATTACAGGCGAAAGATGTCCTAGTCGATTTTTCCGAAATTTTCAAAAGTAAAAGAGTTACAAATTTGCCACTTTCTGTTATACAGGATGTTCGGCTACTTGTGTTACAAATTTTGCACGTAAATTCTTCATTCAAAATGAAACCAAAAAGTCTTGATTGACTATGGTCCGAATCTCAGCAGTTTCGGAGTTATTCCACTTTTTCTGATTTTTTAAGATTTCACGGCCTTGCTTCAAATAAACAATGATAACTCCAAAACTAAAAGATTTTGGACAAATTCATTGATACCATTGAAAACTACGTTAAATTTCCAATAAGATGTGATCAATATTAAACTTGTAAACGTTCGTGGAATTAATTCTAATTAATTAATTCGTTTTAATATCGAGAATTTAAAAAAAAAAATTCAAAATTGAAAACTTACTATGGTGATTCTAAACTACTATTTCCCAACCTAGAGACCAGCAAATTTCAGAAAATGTACTCCATTTAATATCCTTTTCAGTGGCATAATTTATTTTTTAATTACTTTTTTCAAAGATTAAGAAATTGATGGAGGAAAAGAAAAAATCGTGGCTGACAGATTGGTAAAAAAAAGTTTAATAAGTTTTCATTTAAAATTATCTTAAGTTATTTTCTTTTAATTTTCCACCTAACCAATCCTTCAACCACGGATTCAACCTTTTTTCTTTTTCTTCATCAATTTCTTCATCTTTGAAAAAAGTAATTAAAAAAGCAATTACACCACCAAAAAGGATATTAAATGGAGTACGTTTTCTGAAATTTGGTCTCCAGGTTTGGAAAAAGTAGTTTAGAATCACCATAGTAAGTTTTTCAACTTAAAAAAAATATATTTTTCAAATTCTCTTCGGTTCTCGTTATTAAAACACTTATTTCACGAACGTTAACAAGTAGTTTAGAATCACCATAGTAAGTTTTTCAACTTAAAAAAAATATATTTTTCAAATTCTCTTCAGTTCTCGCTACTAAAACACTTATTTCACGAACGTTAACAAGTTTAATATTGATTACATCTTATTGGAAATGTACCGTAGTTTTCAATGGTATCAACGGATTTGCCCAAAACCTTTTAGTTTTGGAGTTATCATCGTTTATTTGAAGCAAGGCCGTGAAATCTTAAAAAATCAGAATAAGTGAAATAACTCCGAAACTGCTGAGACTCGGACCATAGCTAATCAGGACTTTTTGGTTCCTTTTTGAATGTAGAATCAACTGACAAAGTTTGTGAAGAGTAGCCGAACACCCTGTTTCATGTAATAATGAAAATATACGATCAACTATTTCTTTCTGGTCTATATTGACGGATTCATAATCATGGATTGCAGTTTCATAACAGTCGATTCGCCTTCGGTTGCATTCGACATTTCTGTCTCCAACACGGATGCGTTAAAAATTAAACATTCTTACTATTAAACATAAAGAATAACGATGAACTAGATTATCGACCTGCTGGAAACATTAAGTCTTTTCAGAGCACTGTGATCACATGTACCTGAAAAACAAAGAAAGGAGGATTGTACTGGTTTTTTAGACTTATATGAGATGCTGAGCCCCAAAAAACATAATGTACTTCTGTGCCCAAAACACCATGTTGTTTAATTCCCTATTACGGTTTAAAGCCCTGAAGATGACAGTATTAAACTGTCGAAAGCTCGGCGAAAACCGTAAGGAAGTTTTCTCTGTTTGACCTCTTCCGAAGATCCTCATAAAGAATAAGTTCAAGTCCCATTTTCACAATTTTCTATTTGTCCATAGCATAATCGTCATTTTTAAGGGACAGCCCGCCGATAACAAGGGTCTACAAGACGACCTCTTAACGACCTTGCGCACCGCGACCGATATTGGCCTAGAGCACAAAAATATAAGCCATAGCTGAAACTATCCGCAAATTGATGCAAACTTCATAAAATATATATATTAAATAAAGGGTTAAGACTTATTTAAATCACTGAAAATGGCGAAATGACAAAACGATTCTGCCAAAACAGCGAGAGCACGCAGTCCAAAACGAAACGAGCAAACTATAAATTCTAACTAAATTCATACTTCTTTCGATATTTTTGTGGTAAAAGAAAGTAATTCAATAATTCTGTAAAAGAAGGCTGAATGAGCTTAAGAAAGTTGCTTCCCTAATAATCACACTTTATATTATAAAAACAGCCAAAGTAGATATTACTTATAAAATCAGAATATAAAAACCCCCCAATCGTAATTTATATACTTAAAAAAAATTGAACGCTAGTTTATTATGAATCCAATTTGTTCCACACGTTCTCTGCGAATGGCAGGCATTGCTCGTCCATGTCCAGCCGACTACAAGACGGCATGTTGAAGACGTGACTTCACTTCTACAGTGTGGACCGGCTAAGAACGGGAAATGCCAATTAAAAAATGTGTTACGCAAATAGAAGCATTGGGATCGGCCAAGTAGTCCACCGATTTTTCCTGGTCTGCCCGCCGACAGTTTGGTCTGAGTAGGACGTGAATAACGGTACGGAAACTGTCCTAAATCTGAGGACACTCCTTGTGGGCTGGAAGCGTATTTTGTTCAAAAAAGAACCAAAGTAAAACTTTTTTTTCCCAAAAGTGCAATCTTATTGAACAGGTTGGGAACTATTGGAATGTAGTTTTTCAATTTTGATTGTTGCAAATGACAAAACTTTTTTGTTACTTTTACTTTTTACAAAAGCTGGAAAAAAGTTGATTTTTTTTGCCGAGAATCCCAGTCAGGGAAAACGAGTTTCGACCGGAAAGTAAATACAAAAAAAATCATTAGTAGTAGTGACTAGTAAATAAAAACGAGATTGGAAAAGCTTTCGACACGGAAAGCGCGATTTTTCGGGGTCTGACAAAATCAATTTCTAGCAGGCAATTAAATTTAAATTATTTTTCTAAATATCTTCTCTGTTGATTGCATTTTTTTAATTTATTGGATGGGATGTTGAACTGCAAAGTTCAGCCGCCTTCAGCTCCACCGCCTTTGGCTTGATATAGGGGTCCCATTTAAAACTGAACTTCAATGGGAATAAACAGCATTTTATTCATACTGTTTACAGTGCAACCTTCCATCCAAAAGTTCAAAGTATAAGATGAGGTGCTTAATTTTTATTACACGTGCAATTATACCACGTGGGGATTTAGGGCAGAGTTTGAGCATAGATCACAATGGGCTGATCCATTAAGAAGGGATGTGTTAGGGTAAATGCCAAAATAATATGGGATTATTAATAAACAATGGGGTAATACTGTGCAACTAGTTAATAACGATTGTACTGTGTTTTGGTCTCCGTAGAAAAATGGAAAATAAACACATCAGATTCAGCAACTCAAATGCTGAACTACTTTCTCTGCAGGTAAGAAGAATACCAAAACCTAATGTTCGGCTAAATTTACATGCATCTATTTAAAAAGATATTGAGACTCTTAAACCAGTTTATTTCCCTAAATTTAGAATAAATTTGAGTTTATTACTCCATTTGTGAGAAAATCGATCCTCCATTATATTTCAAAAACTTCCACATTTATAAATCCTCTTACGACTAATTGCCAGACTATATAATTAATGTCTGCAAGATTACTTTACAACTCCGTACTAAAACTAGTGTGAACATATGGACTATTAGAAGTCCAGAGTTCAGCCAAATAATCAAACTTCTTCCGTAATCGAACTGCACAATGAAAAATACTTCGAGAAATCCTCGACGCTCCATTTTACGTGAAATGAAACTACGTGCAAAGATTTAAACGTTCATGGCCGGTACACAGTTCTATCACTTCCCTGAGTTTACCCTTTCTAACTGTACGGTGAGGGTTTTTCATGAGTTTGATGTATCTGGCACCACTGGAGTTCGTCCATCTTTTGTGGGCCCATCCTGCAATGGAAGAGCCTGTGTTTGATCGTGTTTATTCCAAGATAACAAAAGGTTTTGTACTTATTGGTATTCCTTTAAGATCTTCCTCTGGCCAGTTTGTCTGCTTTTTCATCACCCAGAACTCCTTTGTGTCCTAGCACCTAAGATATTGTAGTGGTTTTTTCAGGTTTGAGATTGTGGATAATTTCATAATGATGCCTTCTTCTTCCAAAGGTCGGCGATCATCAGTATCATGACAATTTTAGCTATTTGTACAGCTGTCCTAAACAACTAAAAGGATGAGCCGTTAAACCACTCCCTAAAAATTTCGGAGGCAAAAGGTTGTTCTCCTTCCTGCGATGGAAGACCCTGTGTTCGATCGTGTTTATTCCAAGATAACAAAAGGTTGTGTGCCTATTGGTCTTCCTTCAAGATCTTCCTCTAGACAGTTTGTTTGCTTTTTCATCACCCAGAACTCCTTTGTGTCCTAGCACCTAAGATATTGTAGTGGTTTTTTCAGGTTTGAGATTGTGGATGAATTTCATAATGATGCCTTCTTCTTGGAGTGCCTTCTTCTTCCAAAGGTCGGCGATCATCAGTATCATGACAATTTTAGCTATTTGTACAGCTGTCCTAAACAACTGAAAGGGTGAGCCGTTAAACCACTCCCTAAAAATTTCGGAGGCAAAAGGTTGTTCTACTTCCTAGGCTACCGACCATTTGCGTCTAATTTCCCTTGCATTATTACACATATTTCATATCACTCTCCTCTCATCAAACCCAGGTATTTAAGCTTCCAGATTTTCATTTCGTAGATTAATTCCTTCTCTTTTGAAAATCACTGCAGAACCTTATTATTAATATCTTTGTCTACATAAGATATCCTAAGAGCACTTCTGTTCAGCCACGTCTCGAAGGCCTCTGTCCTTTTCAACATAAATTTAGTAACCGCGGCAGCTTCAATACCATAAGAAGGCTAGAAGACATATCATACTGACTTTAAGTTGATTGCTTATATTAGCAAAATAAATGCTTCATTTTAATGAAAATAATGCGCGCAATTTTAATAGAAGCTTTTATTTCGGAGCTGATTCATTATTGCTATTTGTCCAGGCCCCCAGATACTCCACAATCTTTCAATTACTGCAATCACCAGTAGTGCGTTCAAATCGGTTCTCTTGGTAAAAACTTTGTTTTGGTCAGACCGTAACTTAATCACGTTTACTTTTGGTGTATTCTCTGGCGGTAATGGACATTTTGTTCAAAAAGGACGTTATCACAGGTATGACTTATATTGTTTAAAGGTAATCTATTAAAACTACTCCAGCTACCTCATTTCCTAACGCGTCGTTAATGATTCCTCCGAGAACACATTAAACACCAATGGAGAAAGAATGCACCTCTGACGCACACCTCGCTTTTTTCATTATCTATTAGACTATACCAGAATTAATTGAAAAAGTCTCTTCCCTCCATATTCCACACAACCCTGCCTGCCAACAATGAAACGATGACCTAGAGATTTGCTGACAGAGACAAGGACTATTTTAACGACGTATATACTATACGTTTTGGGGAAAAAGAAGCAAGTGTAACAATATACCTTCTAAAAAGAAGCCAAACATATTTATGTACTAAAAAGAACGATTGAGCGGAGGTAATCGGATTAAATAATACGTTTCCAAAATAATTCATGCTTAACATTAATATTTATTACATGTCAGGCATAATCTTGTCATTGAAAGTAGGAAGATTATGCTGTATTAATTAATTGTTGGTATTATTATTAATTTGTCGTCGAGAATCCAATCCGATTACACGACATTTGAAACATGGCAAAAAGGAGGTGGGGTTGAGATAGGAAGTTGATGTCCGAGTGGATAGAGGTCACGATAGCTCAAGTGGTTGAGCAGCGGCGTATCTAGCCGAAGATCGTGGGTTCGAATCCCGCTCGTGCCATTAACTTTTTTTCATCTCAACTAAAAACCTTAATTAATTGTAATGTATTAATTGGTCAAGCGGACCACGAAATTACTGAATTTAAGGAATGAAGCGGTATATTTAACATGTCCAAATGGCAAAATTGTAAATTGAACATTGAAAAAACTCGAATAAATTCTTTTTTTCTCCTACTTATGCCTATCATAGTACGTCCTATTTTCTCATGCACCAAATAGCAAGGCGGTAACTATGGGATTTTGTCCAATTGAACCGCTTTTATTAAAAACCTTTCCCTGGAAAGTATAGTCCAGGTCCATTTGCATTAATTAACAACCTCTACGCGTGTGAGAATCGACTATTAAAATTTATTAACCTTTCAAAAACATCAATCGTCAATTGGCAGAAAGACAAGGAAAATATCATTCTCGACGACCAATTAAACCGCTTCTTAATTTTATATTACACAGTGAGAAAGTGATAAACGATTTAAGAGAACTTTCTTCGGTTATCGTAAAATTAGAGTAACGATGTTTTCTTATATTTCGACCTCAACAGTTTAACTCATGATTTTTCCTTCTTGAAAGTGGGATAATAGGTCATCTCAAAAAAACCACAACCAGTTTTTATCCACAACGTTTCGGATTTATTTTAATCCTTCCTCAGATGAGTTAACGCAATGGTTAAAACAGTGGTCGTCAGTCATTAATATTTTATAACAGTTTTTTTTAAAAAGAGCCAGTGTGATACATACTTAAGTCCTTCAGACTCCGAACAAACGTTTTAATATTAAAGTATATAATAATAATTAATAATAATTAAAACTTTTTTCGGAGTCTGAAGGACTTAAGTATGTACCACACTGGCTCTTTTTTAAAATAAACTGTTATAAAATATTAATGACTGACGGCCACTCTTTTAACCATTGCGTTAACTCACCTGAGGAAGGATTAAAATAAATCCTAAACGTTGTGGATAAAAACTGGTTGTGGTTTTTTTTTTAGATGACCTATTATCCCACCTTCAAGAAGGAAAAATCATAAGTTATCGAAAAATGTTAGACACGTTTTCGATCGTACTTTGGCAATGGGCACTGGGAACTTAGAAAGAAAATAATAAGTAATTTACAAAAGTTTAAATATATTTTCTGCCTTTGTTGTTATTTCATTCTATTTGTTGTTGTTTTTTTACCTAGGATAAGAAAAAATGTAGATATATAAACAGTTTCAAAACGAAAAAAATGCTTTATGTAAAGTAGTCTTTTAGGATCGGAGATAATGAAATACATAAATTTGTGACCTAGCGACGTAGCCAATTAGGTCAAAATATTTTTTTTAGTGAGAAACAAATTTGATATTCGTTTTGCGCACACCAAAAAAACACTGTATACAAATTTATATGAAAATCAAAAAATATTCCTTCCTAAAAATTTTTTTATTTTTTTTAAAGAAAATCACAACAATTGTCAATTGAAATGATTCCACTGGAAAGAGCCTACAAATTAGGCGTTATATCATCAATTTTATCTCCGTAAATAGTCAGAAGCGGTAAGAAAAAAAAATGTTCGAGGGGTTTTTGATGATTTCGACCTGATATTTCTCACTTACAATAATATCAAAAATCAACATGATATAATCCAAAAACATAAATATTCAGCGTTCCAACTTTTACCAATAATACTTAATTTGTACAAAATCCAGATGAGTTACGAACGCCAGAAATCAAAAAGAAAAACATTTCCCCCGACTTACTAATCCATCCCAAAAATGTACATTTTTTGATAGGCATGAAAATTCCCTATTAAATGTTTTAAATATTCCTTAAAACAAATCAAAATTGTTTTACAAACAAAAAATATTATACTTAACTGGAAGCGTATTTTGATTTTTGCACCTTTTGTGAATGTCGAATTTTCTTTTTATATTATTTTCCCTGCATATTATTTCCTTATCCGAGGTAAAAAAGCAAATATATTGATATATAATAACCTTGAAATACATGAAAGCAAAGTAAGAAAACCATAGTTAACAAATTTCTAGGCTGCACGGACCCATTGGCAAGAACGCTCGGGCACCAATATTTTTAGTAGAATCGCCAAAAAAGGACTAATTAAAATTTGCTATCCCGCGTCCTTAGTCTTCCCTTGTAAGTTAAAAATTAATTATTTATTAATTTTCTTTACCTACCAGAAGAACCAAGGGTGTATGTTGATGTTAACTGAATACTATTGGGTTGTCCGGAAAATAATGCAGGATTTTAAGTTTTCATTAAAAAAAATCTATATAAAATATTCTGTTTACGTTTACAGGATTACTCATTNGGAAATTATTTTGATTAAAGAACATTGCTTTAAAGTAACTAGTTTCTTTTTTTTGTTTAATACCAAAATCCTGCATTATTTTCCGGACAACCCAATACTTTTGGCTGCCTTCTATTATGTTTAAATTTATCTTTAAAAACAGCACAATTTTTTCTTTAAGCGTAGTATAAAATAACTAGAGCATTGAAATAATATTTTTCTTGCTACATCCTGCTTGGCAATATCAAAGAACAGTTGGGCTTTAAAATCTGTATGTACATTGGCACAAGTGGATTTGAGTTTATATTTTTAATATTTTAAAAGAATAAAAGCAAAATTATTTCCCGCCCGGACATTCTTTGAGTTGCATAATTTTTTCATCCTGGATCACATCAATTAGGTTGGGGTTGCGCGATCGAAATTATCATGTCACGGTGCAGATATGATTATCCAATCTTATCAAACCTTCCTACTTTCTGTAGTTATTGTTTTCGAGCTGGATATCAGGTGGTAAACACATAACGAGCAATTCGTAGCACGTAAGCGCTAATTACATCGAGGATGTAACTTGTAATTATTACTGTAAATCTTTAAAAAAGTGGAACGGAATATGCATTAAGTTGAACGATACCTCGATGTCTTTTCTTAACTATAAAACTTAAAATGGGATGAGAAACCGATACATTTCAGAATTTTTTGGAAAAAAAGTGGTTAATTTTGATAAATTATGAAGCAATGAGGTGAGGATTGCGACTTAATGGATCAGAGACGAAAAACCAACAGTTTGATAAATTATCAAAATACTTGATCGATTCATGTTGAATCACTGCTAAACAGTTCACTTATATAAAAAAATAAGATAAATGAATAAAAATGTTTTGAAAAAGGTGCAGACCACCATTCGCAAAGAGTACGGAAAACTTTTATAATAACTTAAAGAATTTATTTAATTAAATGTAAAGTAATTTCTGCGATACGGAAAGGCTTAACGTTCAACTAGCCGGAAGGTGTCGCGGACAAATGGTCAAGTCACTTTACAGTACTTTTTTCATATCATTTTCAATTAGAATTACATAGCCTAAGCCTAGATTCGAACCTCCAACCTCTAGCGTGACAAACGAGTTGGACGCCCTAACCGCGAGGGTATTAATTCAGACTTAGCAATGTTTTAATGGACTAGGAATGTTCAAACCGTTTGTGTATCTTTAACCAACTAGGCTTTCGACGAAATGCAAGGATTTCATTGGAGAATTTATTCGGGTTGTCGAATATGCAAAAACAGTTGATAAACGCCCTCGACGATAATCCCACGCATCATGAAAACATTTAACTTTATCAATTTTATCGTGAACGTCGTATTATTGAATTTACGGGCTAACAAGTTATTTATTAAATTTCTTGTGATGACCAGTAGTTCACATCATAAAATAAAAATTAATCCATATTTGCCTTAGCGGTCATAATTAACCGTTAAAGTATTCCAATTAATTATTCTTTTTATAGAAGAATATATTAGAGTTCGTGGTCTGATTGACCAAATAACTTGTTTCAATTAATTAATCTTTATGTAAGGTATTGGTTGAAATAAAAAAGTCAGTGTCACGAGCGAGATTCGAACCCACGACCCTCGGCTCAATACTGGGAAAATTCGAAAGGTGATTTCACGGTATCTCAAGCGGTAGAGCAGCGGCTATTTAGCTAGGCTATTAAATTTATCTAAGGTTTTTGGTTGAGATGAAAATTAGTGTCACGAGCTGGATTCCAACCCTTGACTTGGAAATATGGCAAAAAGGGGAACAATTCGAATGGTTGTAGAGATGAGGAGTTGGTGTCCGAGGGGATCGGAAGTCACGATAGCTCAAGTGGTTAGAGAAGCGGCGAGGTCATGGGTTCGAATTGACTAATTTTTCATGTCAACCAAAAACCTTAGATAAAAATAAAATAAAAATTTAAAAAACTTATAGGGTATCATAGTGTTATATCGCGCCCTTTAAAAACCCCCTTTGTTGCCCCTGGCATTTGCGTATGGCCGTCGCGTAACATTT